GGTTATACAGAAATAATGTGTGGGTGTTTATTTAAAAAGCATTAACACAAAATTAATAAAGTATAGGTATTAATAAATATATGGTTGTTGTATCAAAATAGAATTTTCTTATTTTTCACTAAAATAAAAACTAACTGTCTTTTTTATAAAATAAATGACCTTTTCATTGTGCCATATATTATGGAACTATTTAAATTATTTAGCTGATTGTAAGAAACAAAATGTTGGTTTGTAGATTAATACTGTAAAATTATTATTTGTACGGAAACGATAAAAATATATTTTTGTGCTGCGACAAAAACTAATATTATAAATGTGAAAGTAACTCTGTCTGTCTGTCTCGCTTTCACGCCAAAACTACTGAACCGATTTGAATGAAATTTGGTATACAGATAGTCTAGACCCTGAGAACGGACATAGGCTACTTTTTAATGCGAAAAAAGGGTTGTAAGGGGTTAAAAGGGGGTGAAAGTTTGTATGGAAGAATCGTCATTTTTGAAGCTAGAAGCTTGAAACTTATTTTTGAGACTGTTGATTAAATATAAATAAAAATGACATTCAATGTTTGTAAAAAATTACCCTTAAGGGGGTAAAATAAAATAGGGGATGCAAGTTTTTATGTAAATTCGTCATTTTTGAAGCTAGAAGCTTAAACTTATTGTTGAGACTGTTGATTAAATATAAATACATATGACATTCATTGTTTGTAAAAAAATTACCCTTAAGGGGGTAAAATAAAATAGGGGATGCAAGTTTTTATGTAAACACGTCATTTTTGAAGCTAGAAGCTTGAATCTTATTGTTGAGACTGTTGATTAAATATCCTTACTAATATTATAAATGCGAAAGTAACTCTGTCTGTCTGTCTGTCTCGCTTTCACGCCAAAACTACTGAACCGATTTAAATGGAATTTAGTACGCAGATAGTCTAGACGCCGAGGAAGGACATAGGCTACTTTTTAATGCGTAAAAAGGGTTGTAAGGGGTTCAAAATGGAAATACAAGGTTATCTTTATGCGGTTGAATACTTATTCGTCATCTTTTCATTTCACTATCTAACAACCAATCAACACATCGCGTGCGTATGCGCCAATAAGGTATCCATCACAGAGAACAAAACCACAGATAACATAATGTAAAACGAAAGATCTTGCCGGAAACATGACGTTGACGTTTAGCGAAAATATTGTTTTTTGACACATTTTTATGATAAAATCGTATATCGTGTGTATGTGTTTTTTCTTTAAACTTGAAATTGGCCGATTGCGAGACAAATTTGGCCATTTTTTTTATTAGTTTGTTTTACGGCTCTGGATACAAGTCCTGTTTAGCCCAACTTAAAGTTTTACAATATAAATTACAAAAATTAAAGTCAATGTCAAATGTCAAATAATAATAAATGTCAAATGTTGTTTCTCTGTTCTGACGGACTTATTAAAAAAAAACTTAATAACAATCACAATTTCTTCACATTCTATTATTTACATTTTTTAAAGAATGTTGTGGTGTGGCACTATCCGAAATTAAATTATTTACCCATTTTTGTAGGTTATACAGAAATAATGTGTGGGTGTTTATTTAAAAAGCATTAACACAAAGTTAATAAAGTATAGGTATTAATAAATATATGGTTGTTGTATCAAAATAGAATTTTCTTATTTTTAACTAAAATAAAAACTAACTGTCTTTTTTATAAAATAAATGACCTTTTCATTGTGTCATATATTATGAAACTATTTAAATTATTTAGCTGATTGTAAGAAACAAAATGTTGGTTTGTAGATTAATACTGTAAAATTATTATTTGTACGGAAACGATAAAAATATATTTTTGTGCTGCGACAAAAACTAATATTATAAATGCGAAAGTAACTCTGTCTGTCTGTCTCGCTTTCACGCCAAAACTACTGAACCGATTTGAATGAAATTTGGTATACAGATAGTCTAGACCCTGAGAACGGACATAGGCTACTTTTTAATGCGAAAAAAGGGTTGTAAGGGGTTAAAAGGGGGGTGAAAGATTGTATGGAAGAATCGTCATTTTTGAAGCTAGAAGCTTGAAACTTATTTTTGAGGCTGTTGATTAAATATAAATAAAAATGACATTCAATGTTTGTAAAAAATTACCCTTAAGGGGGTAAAATAAAATAGGGGATGCAAGTTTTTATGTAAACACGTCATTTTTGAAGCTAGAAGCTTGAAACTGATTGTTGAGACTGTTGATTAAATATAAATAAAAATGACATTCAATGTTTGTAAAAAATTACCCTTAAGGGGGTAAAATAAAATAGGGGATGCAAATTTTTATGTAAAATCGTCATTTTTTAAGCTAGAGGCTTGAAACTTATTTTTGAGGCTGTTGATTAAATATAAATAAATATGACATTCATTGTTTGTAAAAAAATTACCCTTAAGGGGGCAAAATAAAATAGGGGATGATAGTTATTATGTAAATTCGTAATTTTTGAAACTAGAACGATGAAACTATTTTCATTCGTTCTTTTGGGGTAGATTTTTAAATACCCCACTAATGTTATAACTGTGAAAGTAAGTCTGTTTGTCTTTCTGTCAGTCTTACGCTCCAAAACAAAACAAAAATTTAAATGAAATTTAAAAAATTTAAACACAGTTTACACCCGGACAAAGAATATAGGGTACTTTTGAATGTGAAAAAAGGATTGTAAGGGGGTTGCAATGGTACGCTGTATGGAAGAATCGTCATTTTTTAAAACTAGAAGTTTGAGACTCATTTTTAGACATTCAATGTTTGTAAAATTTTTACTCTTAGGGGGAGTGGGGGGGGGGGGGGGGGTAGTAAAATAAAATAGGGAATGAAAGTTATTGTGGAAATTTGCTGTTTGTGTGGTTGTGGAAGCTAGAACGATTAAACTTTTTTCTTTGTCTTTTTAGAGTTAGTTTATTAAATACCCTACTGATACAAGTGAAAGTAACTTTGTCTGTCTGTTTGTCTCGCTTACACGCCAAAAATATTGAACCGATTTAAATTGAAATTTGAAACAGACATAGATAGACTAGATCCTGAGAAAGGACATAGGTTACTTTTTAATGTGAAAAAGGGTTGCAAGAGGATTGAAAGGGTAGATCCAAGGTCATATAGATGTATCGTCATGTTTAAAGCTTGAAATTTATTTTTTAGCCTATTAATTAAATATTTATTTTTATTTTTTATCATTTTTTAAGCTAAAATGATGAAACTTATTTATTTGACTTATATTGTGTTAATTGAGTTAAATATTTTTTCATTATTTACGCGGACGAAGTCGCGGGTACAGCTAGTACAATATATATGAGTGTGTCTGTCAGTTGTCTAGTTTATATTAGGTCTAAATAAAGCTGTGTGATATGTCTAGACGTATTTATTATTGCTAATTATTATAAGTTGATTTAACTTACACTATTTACGATTATCATCATATCATAATAGTATCTGTACAATGATGTTGACAACACACGAATATTAAAAACTAACGGAATCATACGGCGCTGTCTGTATTCATCAGGTACCTACCTATAGTATGTTTCTAGCTGTTGTAATGTAAAAGTTAGTAGGTAAATTATTTTCTGACTTTTTCCATTATATTATTATTTTATTTAATTAATTATGTCATCCAAATAAACTAAAAAATTACAGCTTTATTGAGATATGTGTGAGGTTTATTGCGAATGAAAACTTCAACAGTTAAATTTTATCTACATTACTTTGTTTACATTTCAACATAATTCTTATCTTTTCAAATATATATAAAAAAAAACTTAAATTTGTTGTATTAATAATTTTTTAACATTTATCGTCTAATACTAAATGTTCAACTGTTAATGATAACTTTGCTGTATACAGAAATATATCTTGTATAGTCGTTATGTGATAACAATCATTGTAATGCTTGAAAAAAAAACTTATCTTAATGTACCCACATGCAATTTTCACTATGTACCTGGAAAACAAGTTAATAGCCCATATGATGGAAATTGTAGATTTTCTTACACATCTTCTTAGACTTAAGTACTATTGTCGTGGTTGACCTTTTATTGTATTAATTTACTAATAAAGGCTAAAACAGAATAGAGAGAGGATGGACTCACTGCGTCCTTTGTTTTATTGACCATTTTATCTCGTAACATTTTTACTTTTAAATTTTATTATAAGCAGCAATTGTATTCGTTTTTATTTGAGACAAATAAAGATGATTATTATTATTATTAATAGCACCATCTCACAAATCCCATGAAAATCGGTGATACAATTCATGCGTTCTCTTCACCTGAAGACTAATATGTGTCTCCGTAGAATAGTGTTATGGTGAGGATACTGTATCTACCTATCATCTACCAACCACCTAGTGGTTCTATCTAAGGAATTAGTGTTAAGGTGATTTGAATAAAGAACGTATGTTCTTTTCTGAAGCACTTAGATGCATTATTAGTAAAAAAAAAATTGACAAATAATTTAGCTTAAATATTTTGAAGGTATACATACAAAAGCTCCATAAACGAAGGGCTAACTGACCTAAATACAGTCTGAGACCCTTGGCAAGTTCATTGAATGGGGCCTTCCCTTTATCTAAAACAACATTACTACGTAGTATTAATAATATCTGTGGTTTTACGTTGTATTTTCTAGAAGTAAATTATGTAATTAATGTTAGATTCTTTTTATGGTTACGGCCTTGAAAACTGGGGTTCCTCTCTGGCCAGGGGCACATTTTATTAGACTGCCCTGTGTATCCTACTTTTACACAGCTGTCGACATACCTATTTATGCAAATCCTAATTTTGAATCTATTTTATGTTATATAATTTTTACGGTACATGATATCTGTATTGTAAATATTTAATTGTTCACAAAGAAAAATTACTCGTAGTGAAGACAACGCATCGATATCAATATACAAATATTACGTATAATATAAATATATTTAACAATAAGTATAGTTGGATAATATGCGAGACGTCTCTCGACTGTCGATGGGTCAGTGTTGTGATAACCTCGCGAGCCGCCACCACCGACCACGGGCCTCGTCGATCAGACTCTAGTGAGCACTCCGCCCTTCTGACGTGCCACCATAATCTATAAAGCCAGTCGGCGCAAACAAAAGAAACAGTCCGCCTTCGATCTCCGTCGATGTTGTTAATTTAGCATACACTGAGACACTGACGCGAGATCGCATATTGCGATGAATTCAAAACAGTGAACAGTTAAATAAAAACAAAACAAATCAGGTTTTGAATATCCCTCTCTTTATATGCGCTTGCGTGCAAACACAGCTGTGATTGGTTGAAATAACGTTCAGGGAAAAGTAAAAACATGACGATGAGTGAAACAAATAGCAGTGCCAGTCGGTCGGCGTGCAATTGCAAAGGAAGCATGATCGTTGTGTCCAACAGGCTACCTTTTATTTTGAAGAGAAATGAGAAAACCGGTGAATTAGAGAGAAAAGCCAGGTACTGTACTGTCGATATCTGTAACAATTCAAGAATGTACATTGCTTATTAACTTACGGTTTCAATAGCAGGCCTATTTGTTCATATATAATTTTAATAGACTGTTTCTAACAGAAATTGTAGGATGAATGAAATTTATCCTTAGCGAGGTAATAAGCGTAATAACATCTACCTTGATCGACTTAATCAGGCTTATACATACATGAATAGCAAATGAATTAATGAATCATTGATAGACAATTATCTATTGCAAGAATAAGAAGTAAATAAATAATTAAATAAAGAAACAATAACATTGATAATTTTTGTAAATATTATCCGTTATAACCAGTCGGCCATGTGCGGAACACCTGTGCGATCTTTCAGTATTGATTTTATCAGAATTTCTAGAAAACTCGCCAACATTAGGCTTGCCGGTATCTATTCGGGAAAATTCCGTGGTTACACACTTCTCAAACTCAATCCTTCCGCGTAACTACCTGAGTACCTACTGTGTAAATAGTTATTTATTCCTTAATTGAATGCGTTATCTTGAGTTTACTCGTTTGAGTCATCAGTCATCTGAATGTCAGCTGTTTTAACGAAACAAATAAACAAACATCCCGCTACTTATCTATATATAAATACTTAATACTAAAATTTCCTACCAAAACAAAAGAGGTTAAAAAGTATTTTTTATGAATATCATATAAATATATAAAATGATTAGGTTGTCATACCAATGATAGTTACTATTATAGGTGGTCATTTGTTAATTCATTTATATATAGCATTATTGAATGATCATATTCATTTTTTAATATTTATTTACAAATATTTTGGGTGTAAAGAGATTTTATTTTAGGATATTACGTAACATCTATTTGGATGTCATTTCGTAATAGGTACCTACATCAAAAGGCAGCGCGCTAGTTCTTCGTGACAGAAATGATTCATCTACATTTAACAAGTCTTACTAATGTGAGGGTCTGTGACCCTTCTATGCAATCTTGCTAATCTCATATACTACATAATCTTTCTTACTACTTAATTTGTTAAGTACGCGTGATCATAAATCCTATTATACAATACATATTTTTTCTCTCATAATAATATTAATAAAGACTAATAGTTAGGATAAACTATTAATCTATTATTAATATTATAATGTAGAAGGATTTACAGGCTACCTTTTGTGCCTGTAAAATAGGTAATGCGTATAATGTCGCGAATAGAAACTAGTTATCATAGATCATTGTACCTACTACCTACATACATTAATGACTATATCGCACCTCCGCTTAACAACCATAAAGCAAAAAATATTAAAGTATTTTTTATTGTTTTACTAGTTTCAAAACTTTAGTTCAAAAACTTTTATTGACCCGAAAATTGAAAACTTTAATTAGAAATAAAATACAATTTTCTCGTTATTATTTTTCTATATTTATTGATACTAAATACATATTTTAGATGAATACTAGCGATTTTCCGCGATTTATCTTTTGTTTTTAATAAAAGACAGCATATTCAAGTTAAATTCCATGTAGCTGTGAAAAGACAACAAACTGACAGAAATACAGACAGACACAATTTCGCATTTATAATATTAGCATGGATGTTATAATATTACATGTTTTTATTGGATAATAGCCATATTTACATTCCTAGTTAAAAATATTGTATTAAATCTCTAATGAGGTCACTACGCAGAATATTATATAACCTTGGACTTGACTTCGCTGAGCGAGGCTGAGAAACATTGAATTTCGAAAGCCGTTTTAAAATGAGCATTAGTATACTAGATTTGAGTAAAGTATACTATATCTAACGTAATACCTGGACTTGATAATGATGGATTGACTTGATGACATTCAATGTACCATTCTACATTTATATAATTTCAATTTATACTCGTATGTGTATATTAGATAGATATTCTTATAAATATTTATATGTTTATATAATATATTATACTTACCTAGAAAATACCAAAACACATAATCATACTCATAAATGTAAATGTTTGTATCGCGAGAGAATCGAATCCCAACTGAAGTAAGGTGGTGTACTAAACCACTAATTCTTAATTGTTCAGGATTATTATTTATTATTGTTGTTACTGTTATTTCTTGAAAAATGGTAATAATTTAGTTAATATGATTTAATATAAGGCAGAATATAGAGATACATTCGATAAATCCACTTACCCTTGTATACAATATATTCAGCAATTAAAGATATGAATCTATTAATTATTGATATTAAAATTATCTATTAATGTCCAACATTGGGGAGAAAGGGTATTGTTAGTAATGTGATCTGTTGACCCCATTGCAATGTACCAAGTCAGGCTGATCTCCACGCAGTTTTCCCTGGAAACAATAATGAAAAATTCGTGATGAATTTGTCACGATGGTGATTTATCCTTCACTGATGCCCCGCCAGCGTAAACCGTTAGGGCAGGCGTTATAAAAAGAAATATATCTAATATTTTACTTTGAGATTGATCAATTATAAATAATCTATACTAATATCATAAAGAGGTTAGAGTTTGTGAGGTATGACCTCACGAACTAGTAGAGGGTAATCGCTGGCTGCTAAAATGATTATGAAAGTCATTGTATTATTGGATAGCCTATTTATAACGGAACACGCTACACACAATACGAGTAGAGCTGCAATAAAAATATTGTATAAATTTGTAGCAAACAAAATTACGCGGGCCACCTAGTATGATATCATTTTAATTAATGTAGTATTTAAATTCTGTTCCTAGTCAATATGGATGTAGTACGTATTTCGTAACTTTAATATACGAATGTTAAGTATAACATGTATTCTAAAAATATTTTTTTAACAATGGCAACACTATCATACTAATGTTCTTTCGAACATTGTCTCTTCCGTATTTGTGTGCTCAAAATAAATGTAGAGTCAGTAAAAACCAAGTGTTTGACAACTCGAAATCAAAATTCTAACATTTAATCATTACTTAATGTCGCTTCTATTGCATTTATAGAAAGAAGGTGTTGTTATCTGCCGAGAAATTGCAATTAATAACCTCAGTCATCTTTATTATTTTATTATGAAACAGAATGTAATGCATCTTCTAACATAGTACGTATCTATATTTGTTCTCTAAGCAATTAATAGTTATTATTATTACCACAGATAACATAATATTATTATTGAAACCAATATATGAGTTTCATAAACTGCGTACCCCAATATTACAGATTTAGATTTTTGCCAAGAAGTTTTTGCAACTTTATCTGAAAGTTCTTTTTACATTACACTTAAATAAAATACAGAAAAGTGTCATCACAATCATTATAACAATAATAATCGATTAATCATAATGAAACTGGAATTTATTCACTGAAAATTGGTAATTATTCAAAATTGTATAAAATAAGTAAATATTCTACATATATTGAAAAATGGAATAAGATTTTTTTATAAACGAGAAATTTTTTCTCAAATATATACAAGCTTAATACATTATAAAAAAATCTTGTCATAAAACCAAAAATATTTGTAACGATAAACCACTTGTTAGAGCACCAACTTCTTTCAATTTGTTTATCTATAAGGAAAATTAAATTCCCGTTTCTTAACTACAAAATTATCTGGATTTTATTTCCTCGTAGAAAACCAGTTATGTAATTTGGTTATCTATAAGGTTCAAGTTGCTACCTACGTATATGTACCGAAATGTTTTAGTTCTAAATAGATAGTAAACATACCTACGCAGTAACGAATTATAATACTATCGTCAGCTCGCGATTGTCGCCGTGGCCATGTTCTTATTTCATGTGAATGGATACCTAAATATACTTTTTTAAGGAGTACCTATATCTGTGTGCCCAAAAAAGTGGATGTATTAACTAAATATTGAATTCACCAAGCGCTAACTAACTAAACTCCATCTCATATTATCAACCTCCACTGATTACCACCCATTCAACAACCCTAGTTACTGGGTAAATGCACCTGCACGCCTAGAAACAAATACCCTAGACTAAACAATTCTCTAACCAGCGATGTAAAACCTTATGGTCTTCTCTATTAAAAATACTATTTATAAGCCACATGATAATTAGTTAAACAGTTAAACCGTAATGAAATGAAAGCGTAACAAAAAAAACTAACTTTCGCATTACACATATACTATTTAGGTTTGTAACAGCCTGCTTGCGTTTATACACCCAAAACTATAAAATCACTAAACGATTGGAATTTAATACAGCACAGTGGAATTTTATTGTTGTTTTATTCGAAACAGCTATTTGAAAGGTAGTTTACAAAGCAAACAGCTTGCTTGTAAACTGTGTTCCTTAACGTCTGATAACAGGGGACTGTGGTATCCACGCAGAAGACTTTTTGCAAAGTATAAGAATATATAAGTATATATTCCGTACATATATGTTATATAATGTAACATTTTCCCAAATATTACCAGAATTTCTCATTCTGATACAGAATGGACCACTTTTTCGTAGAACTGCAGCTAAAATTGTCTGTAGATACATCATTATTTAGAGGTATATTGATCTATTTATTTGTATTGTTTAACTATAGGGCTGTAATGCATATAAGTTAGAACTATTGTATTTGAATCCTAAGCAAATTTTACTTACTAATGCTGTTGGTGAATATTATTAATTGGCATAGGACAATTCAATATCTTTTTAGAATAATTTGGCTCTGATCTGTTTAACTGTATCGTTTTTAAATAACCAACTTAAATATAAGTTTAATATAAAAAATAAATTTATCAGGTAACTATAATTGTTTATAAATTGTATAAGTTGTTGATTACCCAAATAAGTAAAATAAAAATACGATTAGTAACATATCTTTCTAAAATAAATAAAGCCGCGAGAAACAGATGGTTGTATAATAAAAGTAACAGTTATTTACGTGATGCAGTGCCGGCGGTCTGGTGACAGCGGTCGCGCCGGTGGTCATCCGGGGCAGTGGGATATGGGTGGGATGGCCCGGGATACACCTGGACGACCCCAACGAAAAGATACCCGAGTCCAACCCCAATGACAAGACGCCCACAGCTGGATTACTTTCTAAAAAGGTAACAGCACTGAATACATATTTTTACTTTTTTCTTTCTTCCAACTTATTATCACTGATAAACTTAAAAAAATGTGTATAAAAATCTATCTACGCAAATTATCATTACTCTAATTATATATCGATATTTTTATACCATATGTATGTATTCGTGTGTATTCTTACTAGATATATGTAGAACACTGCTTCTCAAAAGTACACACTGCTCTTATAAGAATATAGCCTAAATTTGCCCTAATAGTAAATACTTGTAATTATAACATCACAAATTCTTATTCTTCAATAAGCTTGTGTAAAAATAGTGCTTCCATCTTTTTCGTATCCGCGCTCCCAGTCCCTTTTTTTTTTTTTTAACGTGTGGAAAAATCTTCAACAAGACCCCGCCGGAGGGATGGCGAGGTGGTGTGTGGGACTCGTACCCACTAAAAAACCACACGGTATACCTCGAGGTGCCGTGGGCCGAAGTCCGGGGTTCGCACTTGGCACTCAACCCAGACTTCGGCGGCTTGGCCTGTCCTGTAGATGTTGTAGGACAGGCCCCCTCTCTCTGGTTAGGGTGCTATGGCTTGCACCCTACCTTCTCGTGGAGGCGCGTGGGTACACGCGCGCGCCTCCAGGGGGCTGGTTGTGGGGTGGTGCCTCCCTCAAGGCATGCACCCCGGCCCCCGTGGGGGGTAGACTCGGGACGGAGTTGGGCTCGTCCCTACATCTGCGCCTGGTCCTCCGGCGGCGGATCATTGGGGCGAAAGGATCGTACTCCCGGTCCCTCTCCGCCGCCTCCTTCTGCGAAATAACTTCTTCGCAGAAGGTGAGCACTGCCAGCCACGACCCCTCGCTCCTAACCATTGCCCGAACTAAATTCGGCAGCGAGAGGTCGGCCCCCACTTCCGCGACCAAGACGCGGCGCTCCTCTGCGAATGCAGGGCACTCCTCCAGAACGTGCTGCGCCGTGTCTTGGTCGCATCCGCACTGGTGGCACATTGTTGTCGGCTCCCTCCGTGCTATGTTACACAGGTACCGCCCGAAACACCCATGTCCGGACAGCACCTGCGTAAGTCGATAAGTCAGCGGCCATCGTCGCCTGCCCATCCATTCTTTGAGAACTGGACGGACAGCCTCGACGGTCCTCAGGCCGGCCGTAGGGTTGGCCAGCCTTTCTTCCCACTTTTCCATGAGGACACGTCGGAGGTGGGATTTCCGTTCCCCTAGTTCCACTCCAGAGGGCTCCCTTCCTTGGGCCCTTTCGTCCGCGCGCCACTTGTACAAGGACGCGCGGGAATCCGCTACGAGATCCCAAGGTGGGGAGCCCGCGAGCAAGCACGCCGCCTCTCTCGAGACGGTGCGGTACCCTCTGATGACCCTTATGGCCATTGCTCGTTGCGGACGCAGGAGCAAGGCCATATTCCCCTGGACAGGGCCCCATACCATATAGGGGCCCCGTATAGGGCCATCGATTGCACCACACCCATGTAGAGGCGGCGACAATTATCCCCCGGCCCCCCGATGTTAGGCAGCAGCCAGCTTAAAGCGCCGGCCGCCGCCATTAGATGAGGAGCCAGGTTCTTGAAGTGGAACCGGAAACCCCAGCGACTATCAAGGTCAAGCCCTAAATCCTTACTAATATTATAAATGCGAAAGTAACTCTGTCTGTCTGTCTGTCTGTCTGTCTGTCTGTCTCGCTTTCACGCCAAAACTACTGAACCGATTTAAATGAAATTTAGTACGCAGATAGTCTAGACGCAGAGGAAGGACATAGGCTACTTTTTAATGCGTAAAAAGGGTTGTAAGGGGTTCAAAATGGAAATACAAGGTTATCTTTATGCGGTTGAATCCTTATTCGTCATCTTTTCATTTCACTAGCTAACAACCAATCAACACATCGCGTGCGTTTGCGCCATTCGCCATCTTTTCATTTCACTAGCTAACAACCAATCAACTCATCGCGTGCGTTTGCGCCAATAAGGTATCCATCACAGAGAACAAAACCACAGATAACATAATGTAAAACGAAAGATCTTGCCGGAAACATGACGTTGACGTTTAGTGAAAATTTTTTTTTTTGACACTTTTTTATGATAAAATCGTATATCGTGTGTATGTGTTTTTTCTTTAAACTTGAAATTGGCCGATTGCGAGACAAATTTGGCCATTTTTTTTATTAATTTGTTTTACGGCTCTGGATACAAGTCCTGTTTAGCCCAACTTAAAGTTTTACAATATAAATTACAAAAATTAAAGTCAATGTCAAATGTCAAATAATAATAAATGTCAAATGTTGTTTCTCTGTTCTGACGAACTTATTAAAAAAAACTTAATAACAATCACAATTTCTTCAAATTTTATTATTTACATTTTTTAAAGAATGTTGTGGTGTGGCACTATACGAAATTAAATTATTTACCCATTTTTGTAGGTTATACAGAAATAATGTGTGGGTGTTTATTTAAAAAGCATTAACACAAAGTTAATAAAGTATAGGTATTAATAAATATATGGTTGTTGTATCAAAATAGAATTTTCTTATTTTTCACTAAAATAAAAACTAACTGTCTTTTTTATAAAATAAATGACCTTTTCATTGTGCCATATATTATGGAACTATTTAAATTATTTAGCTGATTGTAAGAAACAAAATGTTGGTTTGTAGATTAATACTGTAAAATTATTATTTGTACGGAAACGATAAAAATATATTTTTGTGCTGCGACAAAAACTAATATTATAAATGTGAAAGTAACTCTGTCTGTCTGTCTCGCTTTCACGCCAAAACTACTGAACCGATTTGAATGAAATTTGGTATACAGATAGTCTAGACCCTGAGAACGGACATAGGCTACTTTTTAATGCGAAAAAAGGGTTGTAAGGGGTTAAAAGGGGGGATGAAAGATTGTATGTAAGAATCGTCATTTTTGAAGCTAGAAGCTTGAAACTTATTTTTGAGACTGTTGATTAAATATAAATAAAAATGACATTCAATGTTTGTAAAAAATTACCCCTAAGGGGTAAAATAAAATAGGGGATGCAAGTTTTTATGTAAATTCGTCATTTTTGAAGCTAGAAGCTTAAACTTATTGTTGAGACTGTTGATTAAATATAAATACATGACATTCATTGTTTGTAAAAAAAATACCCTTAAGGGGGTAAAATAAAACAGGGGCTGCAAGTTTTTATGTAAACACGTCATTTTTGAAGCTAGAAGCTTGAATCTTATTGTTGAGACTGTTGATTAAATATCCTTACTAATATTATAAATGCGAAAGTAACTCTGTCTGTCTGTCTGTCTGTCTGTCTCGCTTTCACGCCAAAACTACTGAACCGATTTAAATGGAATTTAGTACGCAGATAGTCTAGACGCCGAGGAAGGACATAGGCTACTTTTTAATGCGTAAAAAGGGTTGTAAGGGGTTCAAAATGGAAATACAAGGTTATCTTTATGCGGTTGAATACTTATTCGTCATCTTTTCATTTCACTATCTAACAACAAATCAGCACTTCGCGTGGTTTTGCGCCATTCGCCATCTTTTCATTTCACTAGCTAACAACCAATCAAAACATCGCGTGCGTATGCGCCAATAAGGTATCCATCACAGAGAACAAAACCACAGATAACATAATGTAAAACGAAAGATCTTGCCGGAAACACGACGTTGACGTTTAGCGAAAATATTGTTTTTTGACACTTTTTTATGATAAAATCGTATATCGTGTGTATGTGTTTTTTCTTTAAACTTGAAATTGGCCGATTGCGAGACAAATTTGGCCATTTTTTTTATTAATTTGTTTTACGGCTCTGGATACAAGTCCTGTTTAGCCCAACTTAAAGTTTTACAATATAAATTACAAAAATTAAAGTCAATGTCAAATGTCAAATAATAATAAATGTCAAATGTTGTTTCTCTGTTCTGACGAACTTATTAAAAAAAAACTTAATAACAATCACAATTTCTTCAAATTTTATTATTTACATTTTTTAAAGAATGTTGTGGTGTGGCACTATACGAAATTAAATTATTTACCCATTTTTGTAGGTTATACAGAAATAATGTGTGGGTGTTTATTTAAAAAGCATTAACACAAAGTTAATAAAGTATAGGTATTAATAAATATATGGTTGTTGTATCAAAATAGAATTTTCTTATTTTTCACTAAAATAAAAACTAACTGTCTTTTTTATAAAATAAATGACATTTTCATTGTGTCATATATTATGAAACTATTTAAATTATTTAGCTGATTGTAAGAAACAAAATGTTGGTTTGTAGATTAATACTGTAAAATTACTATTTGTAGGGAAACGATAAAAATATATTTTTGTGCTGCGACAAAAACTAATATTATAAATGCGAAAGTAACTCTGTCTGTCTGTCTCGCTTTCACGCCAAAACTACTCAACCGATTTGAATGAAATTTGGTATACAGATAGTCTAGACCCTGAGAACGGACATAGGCTACTTTTTAATGCGAAAAAAGGGTTGTAAGGGGTTAAAAGGGGGTGAAAGATTGTATGGAAGAATCGTCATTTTTGAAGCTAGAAGCTTGAAACTTATTTTTGAGGCTGTTGATTAAATATAAATAAAAATGACATTCAATGTTTGTAAAAAATTACCCTTAAGGGGGTAAAATAAAATAGGGGATGCAATTTTTTATGTAAATTCGACATTTTTGAAGCTAGAAGCTTGAAACTTATTGTTGAGACTGTTGATTAAATATAAATACATATGACATTCATTGTTTGTAAAAAAATTACCCTTAAGGGGGCAAAATAAAATAGGGGATGATAGTTATTATGTAAATTCGTAATTTTTGAAAGTAGAACGATGAAACTATTTTCATTGGTTCTTTTGGGGTAGATTTTTAAATACCCCACTAATGTTATAACTGTGAAAGTAAGTCTGTTTGTCTTTCTGTCAGTCTTACGCTCCAAAACAAAACAAAAATTTAAATGAAATTTAAAAAATTTAAACACAGTTAGTTTACACCCGGACAAAGAATATAGGGTAC